GGAGAAAAAACAGGGAAAAATGGGGAAAAATGAGAATTATTTGGGTTATCAACAGGGGCTGGTAACGGCCACAGCCGCCGTGGCCCTGCCGGAAATAACGGGGGAATGGGGAGAAACAGTGAGAAATGGGGAAAAACCAGTGAGAAATGGTGAAAGATGGGGAAAAAACAGCGAAAAACCAGTGAGAAATGGGGAAAAAACAGTGAGAAATGGGGAAATAACAGTGAGAAATGGGGAAATAACAGTGAGAAATGGGGAAAAATGGGGAAAAATGGGGAAAAAACGGGGAAAAACCAGTGAGAAATGGGGAAAAATGAGAATTATTTGGGTTATCAACAGGGGCTGGTAACGGCCACAGCCGCCGTGGCCCTGCCAAACAGGGAGAAATGGGGAAAAAACAGTGAGAAATGGGAAAATAACAGTGAGAAATGGTGAAAAATGGGGAAAAATGGGGAGAAAACAGTGAGAAATGGGGAAAAATGGGGAAAAATGGGGAGAAAACAGTGAGAAATGGGGAAAAATGGGGAAAAAACAGTGAAAAATGGGGAAAAATGGGGAAAAACCAGTGAGAAATGGGGAAAAACCAGTGAGAAATGGGGAAATAACGGTGAGAAATGGGGAAATAACAGTGAGAAATGGAGAAAATGGAGAAAAAACAGGGAAAAATGGGGAAAAATGAGAATTATTTGGGTTATCAACAGGGGCTGGTAACGGCCACAGCCGCCGTGGCCCTGCCGGAAATAACGGGGAAATGGGGAGAAACGGTGAGAAATGGGGAGAAATAGGGAGAAATGGGGAAAAATGGGGAAAAATGGGGAAAAACCAGGGAGAAATGGGGAAAAATGGGGAAAAAACAGGGAGAAATGGGGAAAAACCAGGGAGAAATGGGGAAATAACGGTGAGAAATGGGGAAAAACCAGTGAGAAATGGGGAAAAATGGGGAAAAACCAGGGAGAAACGGGGAAAAACCCGGGAGAAATGGGGAAAAATGGGGAAAAAACGGGGAAAAACCAGTGAGAAATGGGGAAAAATGGAGAAAAACCAGTGAAAAATGGGGAAAAATGGGGAAAAACCAGGGAGAAATGGGGAAAAATGAGAATTATTTGGGTTAACAACAGGGGCTGGTAACGGCCACAGCCGCCGTGGCCCTGCCGGAAATAACGGGGAAATGGGGAGAAACGGTGAGAAATGGGGAGAAATAGGGAGAAATGGGGAAAAATGGGGAAAAATGGGGAAAAACCAGTGAGAAATGGGGAAAAATGGGGAAAAATGGGGAGAAAACAGTGAGAAATGGGGAAAAATGGGGAAAAACCAGTGAGAAATGGGGAAAAACCAGTGAGAAATGGGGAAAAACCAGTGAGAAATGGGGAAATAACGGTGAGAAATGGGGAAAAACCAGTGAGAAATGGGGAAAAATGGAGAAAAACCAGTGAAAAATGGGGAAAAATGGGGAAAAACCAGGGAGAAATGGGGAAAAATGAGAATTATTTGGGTTAACAACAGGGGCTGGTAACGGCCACAGCCGCCGTGGCCCTGCCGGAAATAACGGGGGAATGGGGAGAAACAGTGAGAAATGGGGAAAAACCAGTGAGAAATGGTGAAAGATGGGGAAAAAACAGCGAAAAACCAGTGAGAAATGGGGAAAAAACAGTGAGAAATGGGGAAATAACAGTGAGAAATGGGGAAATAACAGTGAGAAATGGGGAAAAATGGGGAAAAATGGGGAAAAAACGGGGAAAAACCAGTGAGAAATGGGGAAAAATGAGAATTATTTGGGTTATCAACAGGGGCTGGTAACGGCCACAGCCGCCGTGGCCCTGCCGGAAATAACGGGGAAATGGGGAGAAACAGTGAGAAATGGGGAGAAAACAGTGAGAAATGGGGAAAAATGGGGAAAAAACAGTGAAAAAACAGTGAGAAATGGGGAAAAATGGGGAAAAATGGGGAAAAAACAGGGAGAAATGGGGAAAAACCAGGGAGAAATGGGGAAAAACCAGGGAGAAATGGGGAAAAACCAGGGAGAAATGGGGAAAAACCAGTGAGAAATGGGGAAATAACGGTGAGAAATGGGGAAAAACCAGTGAGAAATGGGGAAAAATGGAGAAAAACCAGTGAAAAATGGGGAAAAATGGGGAAAAACCAGGGAGAAATGGGGAAAAATGAGAATTATTTGGGTTAACAACAGGGGCTGGTAACGGCCACAGCCGCCGTGGCCCTGCCGGAAATAACGGGGGGAACGGGGAGAAACGGTGAGAAATGGGGAAAAACCAGGGAGAAATGGGGAAAAATGGGGAAAAAACGGGGAGAAATGGGGAAAAACCAGTGAGAAATGGGGAGAAATGGGGAGAAA